GAATTTACCACGATTTTCCTTCCAGTCAATATGAAACTCGTCACCTTGCCGATTGTAATGTACTTCGCAAAGTTTTTGGTGCCCAATACTCGCAACACTAAAATAATTAACAAGATATCTTTTTAAAATGTCATTTTACTCTTGATCATATTATTTTATTGGCCTTGAATTTCAAATCGATTCAATTACATATCAAACTTTTGTACATGTTTTTGTCTACTGCCCTTCTGCGTGCAAATAATGAGGTCATACTCATGCCACAATAAGTTGAAGCTGATGCCATGTTGATGCCATGAGACTGCGAAGCTGAGGCCACGATGATGCCACAAAATAGCGAGGCGAACACAGCTTCAATTTTCAATGACGCAAAGCCGATGCCACAATGATGCGATGCTGAGGCGACAATGAAGCCATGCGTAGGCGACAATGATGCCACAAAAGCCAAAGCTTCCGCGAGAACTGTACTGTACAATGTGTAACCTGATCATTTATATATAAAAAAACAACCCAAATATATATACGGGTATAAAACTTACCCTGATCCATCATCAGCTAATCCCAATGGGTTGTCATCCTCAAGGAATGTTGGTGATGATGTTCTGTGTACGGCTGCCAATCTGCCATCTACAGTTGTACTCTCATCTACCCATATCGCAGAGCCTTGCAAAGGTCCTATAGAGCCAACAGTAGTGATAGATATAAGATTACCCTGGGTAACAGCAGTGATACATTACAGATTACCCTGGGTAATTTTAAATTTGATTACCCACATATGCCGACTGTTATGCAAATTTGAGACATACCAAATGATGTAAACAAGTTAGGTCTTATATTAGGCCACTACTACATTATACAGTGAATTTCATGAAGGCATAAATGTTGGAATTTATCAAATATCACATAGAATGACCATTATGTTTCATTCAAAGTTGAAGAATGTGCTTTCATTGCCTATAAAGGCCATTTGGTAATGTCCATTACAGTCTTTGCAGGTTTCCTTTAATCATTGGCTGCTTTACTGTCATGTACTTATTAATGTGTTGTGATTGGTCAAATTATTTTCAAACATTATTTGAAATTTATACAACATGTTTTATATCAAAGAAAATTCATGCCTTCATGAAATTCACTGTATGTTATCAGTGTTTCTGCAACACAATGACGTCCCATACACTATGTGAGGCAGAATTAGGCAGAGGGTTCCCAGAACCCGTCTATTCACATAGTTCATACCCACCATAGACTCCGATCAGTCAAAAAGACTATTTTGAACTGTAGGCATTAATCAGCGTTTCTGCCAATGACGGAGAGATAGAATCTAGGTCAGAGGAAGCCCCATGACCCCAAGATTCTCTTCCCTTATGTACAAACCATGTGGCCGAGGCCATATGGCAGCGCCATAGACGGCTGTACAATCGCTCTGGTTCCTTTCTCTCTGCATCAAGGACTTAGACCAACGCTACGGAAAGAGTGGGGTGGTTGGGGGGGGGGGAGTCTATGATGGGTATAAACTATGTGAATAGGTGGGTTCGCCTAAATTCATTACGTTCAATTACCCACCATAGACTCCGGTCAGTCAAAATGACTATTTTGAACTGTAGGCAGAATCAGACGCCGATAGGTGACGGGTTTTCCGAGCAAACAGAAAAGTGATGAAAAGTCTTTTCCCAGTCCTGGATGAAACACTCTACAATAATCACTCAACACCCTAGTTAAGACCCAAAAAAGGTTGGTGTCTTACCTTGCCTGTGCTGTCCCCGGAGCAAGAAGCCAAAATGCTGCTATGGTGACAGGGTTTGGTGTGCCCGAGAAAGCTAGACCCCAGCCCATAGGCCGCGGGACCTGGGAGCTTCCAGGGGAGTGCTGACGGTAGAGAAATCTGTCCGCATAAAATGCAGAGACTGACTTATTGCATATGTGCAGGGAACCTAGCGGTCATTCGGGCTGGGTCAGCAAACCAAGACTGACCCGCTACGACAGGACCCAACATAGAGAGACCCTCTTCAATGGATTTTATGGTAGTTGATAAAGACGTTCTGCATTCTCCATGTGTACTCAAGGGGAGGCGCCTGACGCTAGCACTAGCGAGTTAGCAATCGCACAGACCTCATGCGCTCGTACTTGGTGTCTCTGCAAACTCTATGTTGAGGAAGTTATTATAAGTATTATAGACCTCTAATACAGTCGCAGTAAGCCACCTGGTTATGGAAGTTGGGAAAGCCGGCCTATCCTGCCTGCCTGGGCCATAACAAAAAGATATGTGCCTGGCACCCCGTCCAAAATCCTTAGTATGGTTTGTTGGCAACTCCATGCTCGATCCGGGCAGAGAAGCAATTCCTCCTGACCCTCCGGGCAGACAAAATTTGACAGCCGGGGGATGACGATCAGGTGAGGATCGTGTCCTGGGATTTGGTTCTAGGCGAGAAACCCAATTCGTGTCTTCAGCTCAACTTGATTGTCCATAACGGCGGTACATCATCCGAGAAGGACAATGCCCCCAGCTCTGGCCGACGCCTACCTGAGGCGAGGGGCAGTAGGACTATTTTCCACGTCAAAAATTTGAGTGGTGCTGATCGGAGAGGCTCAAAGGGCCGTCTGCTAAGAGCGGACAACAGTCGGCAAGTCGGCTCCCTTGTACGGGGGTCTCAGCGTCTGGAAAGCAGTAAATAGTCTCCTAATAACAGGATAATTGGCTAGTCTTGTTCCCGTACGTTTTGAATGGTGAGGGACAAGGCCGAGATGTAGCCAATGATTGCTGCGTAGGACAAACCCACTTCGTCAAACAGGTGGATGAAGGAGCCTGCTACCTGGCCAATAGAGGGATGGTATGGATCAATCTCCCTTCTGCTACACCAATCAGCTCGCAGCCTAGAAATGTAGGCCGCGTTGGTGGAATTCCTGTTCGCCCTGGCCAGGAAGTTGGCAGCCCACTCAGACGAGGCTTTCGTATGTGCGGGTCTACTGAGAGCCTTTATGCGTGTAAGTGATACCTGCTGGGCTCGTTGGTAGTGCGCCGTCTGGTTGGGACGGCATGTCCAGTAAGTCCGGAAGCACTGCTGGTGTTTCGACTAGCATTTCTGACAGAAGTGGAAACTAGACCTTGCTTGGCCAATTGGGTGCGACCAATGATAATATGCAGGTGTGCACCTGGCGAATTTTCACCGATGTCCGGTGAACTAGCAGGAAGGGAGGAAAGGCATACACAACTAAGTGTGTCCGCGGGGTTAGCAAAGTGACCCAGAACCAGGCCCCTGGAGTCAGCAGGAGTGTTACGTACATCAGGAGCATGGTGTTCCAGGGTGCAGCAAACCGGTCTAAACTTGCACTGTCCCACAGCCAAAACAGCCTAGAAGCTACCCACTGGGGTATCAGTCACTCTGTGTTCTGGAGATGGAGCCGCCCTGAAAGGGCATCGCCAGACTGTTCCTCACCCCTGGAAGGTGGTGTGCGGTTAGCTCCACATTGTATTAAAGGCACCAAAGGAGGATTTGCTCCACTAGGACTGACAACGATTGGGAATGTGTCCCCCCTCCTTCTTGAAGGAGACCACCACTGCGTTGCCTGTGTTGAGCAGGACCCTGTGGTCTTGAACTACGGGTAGAAAGCGTGGTAGTGCTAAGTACACTGCTCTCAGTTCGAGCCGGTTGATATGGTAGTCCCGAAACTAATGCGGGAGCCATATCCTTGGGCTTGTTCGTCCAATAGATGCGCTCCCCAACCCTGGGGGAGGTATCTGTTACCAGAGTCATACCTGTGGCGAGCAGGTCCAAGGGGGCCCCCCTGTCCAAGGTTGGCCAGTGATGACCACCAGGGCAGGGCTTCCTTCACTTGGCCCGAGATCGAAACCCGCCTATCTAGTTCCTATAGAAGAGCTAGCGTTATACCGGGCGGCTGCGTAGTGTGGTCTGGGAACGACCCTTCGAACAGAGGTCATCATTCCAATGATCCGCATTAGTTCTCGGAGGAACACTGAGGGAACGCTGACTAGGCATTCGGCTAGGCTGCTTAGCGCTAAGCAACACGCTTGAAATAGCTAAGCCAAGCTTACCTCTGTGTCAAAACTCCATGCCCAGGGACACCAACAGCGCGTTGGGTTGAGGTAGGACTTGTCGATTTACTAACGAGCCCAACTGGTGAAGTAAATCTTGTGTTAGCCTGATGCGTTTGGCTATTAACCCCTTGCCCGGGTTGTTAGTAACCAGTAGTTTGGGTACAGATTGAGGTGTACCGACATCTGGTGAAGCAGCAGCACTACCTGTTTCATCACTCTGTTGAACACGTAGGGTGCCGTGCCTAACCCGAAAAGGGGGGGCACCCGAAATTCGAATACTTGGCCAGCTGGACGATTCAAAGGAGATGGCAACTCGCTGGGTGCATCGGTATGTGCAGGTAGGCCCTGCGTAAGTCTAGTGGGGCTAGCCAGTCGAAACGGTGGATGGAGAGAAGAACCCTGAATGGTGTCTCCATGTGGAACCGATCGAGGAGCACCTACTGATTCAGTCTGCCTAGGTCCAGAACTGGACACCCGCCACTTGTAGATTTGGTACTACAAACACATTTGGGTAGAAGCCTGGTGTGTATGGCGCCTTTTCTCAGCAAACTGCTACTTCCTGTCTGATTGCTTCCGCCTTGCGGTAGTCCCCTGGCAGTGCCCAACAGGGGAGACACAGACGGGGGAAATGGAGATTTCAGCGGTATCCCGTAACAGGATGTCATCACCTGGAATCGGGATCGGTCACCCGCTGTCTCCAAACCAGACTACACCGGCGCAATCTGTGTACGACAGGGATATGTAGCCATGGGTTCGGCAGGTGCGATGGGGGGTGCTCTCTTCTCCCATGAGGTGAGTTCCCCAAGGCCTGAAGTAGTCACTAAGTTGTGAGCTGGCCACTTTCCGAACACATGCCTGTCCCCCCGGTTGCAGGGGTGAGCATCAAACACGCTTCCCCCGCTGCCGGGGTAGACGTCCGCCCAGGTAAGGCGAGGAGCCACCACCTGGCTCTTTCCTCCCTGGGGGCGCACCACTACTCTTCCCTCCCATGGAAGGATATGAGCACTTGACTCTAGCTGACTCTGGCTAGCAGACGACGCCCTAGGATGTTGTGTTTTCTGTGCTTGGGGGGCCTTCCGCTTGCCCTTGGCAGGGCCAACTGGCTAGCGGATTCGGTCTGTATCTGACACGAGCGAACTGCGTCTCCTTTCATATTAAATATGTGAGAGGCAGCGTGTTTGACTGTGCCTCTCATGACAGGGTTGGTTCCCTCTGTGGACGCCCTTGGGTTGGGAGTGAGTCAAAACCCACAGCGGGGGCCGGACACAAAGGTAAATTTGTTACCGTTATACCATTACTGCATGACGAACCTTTGCTGGCTGAAAGTAGGGGGGTCAACGTGTGCCCTGCCCTGAAAGCCCTGCTCCGAGATCGGAGGCTTGTCTGCCAGCACCTCGTTGGCATTCAGTGCCCAAGGCTCCACAGGAGGCCCGGTGCAATTAGCCTGAGCCTCGGCCTCACCCAAATTAGTGGGAGAGCCGTAGCTGGGAACGGAGGTTCCGCGGAAGAGACGTGTTTGAATGCAAACATGCTTTTGTGTTTCTTCCTGCTTGCCCACCGGGGGGGTCGCAGTAGAGACAGCTCGCTCCGACTGCGTCTGATCTACTCAGCCTGCCAGGGACGCAATTTGCCCGACAGTCCATCGATCAAAGCCCTCAACTCTGAGGCAAACCCAGCGCTGTGTGAAGAAGGATCCACAAAGGGACCCGCAACAGGCCCCATAGGAGGAAAAAACCTCCAGGGACATAGCCTCGCTGTAGCCGGTAAAATCAGGTAAACCACCGCCTGAAAACACAGCCTGTGAGGATGTCCTACGATCAGCGGGGGGAGACCAAAAAAATATGGGTACCTCCACTGTCGTGTCTGCTACTCGATGTCCCGGTACGTGAAGCACCGGTAGCCGAGTGTTAGGACTTTCCACTCATGCCAAACGCGCAACTCACTTTAACCGGCTAGAATGTTGAATGCTGCGGCTGCGGCAATAACCCATGCTAGAAACCCGGACAGGAAAAACCAAAAGAGCCAGGCAGAGCTGCTCAGAATTATTTCCGACGAGACGAAGATAAAAAAGAGTGAATAGCCAGCTGTAATGGCGCCGCCATATGGCATCAGTCACAGGGTTCGTGACGTAAGAGAAAAGAATCTTGGGATCATGGGGCTTCCCCTGACCTAGATTCTATCTCTCCGTCATTGGCAGAATCGCTGATTAATGCCTACAGTTCAAAATAGTCATTTTGACTGACCATAGTCTATGGTGAGTAATTGAACATAGTGAATTATTATTATTTTTAAATAACAGCAATTAATAGTTTATAGCCACCCATGGGACTTTGGTCAGGTTCTGTACAGCTTCACTAATTTATTCATGAATATTCATTAGGCATTGAATCAATGTATTAAAACAGATCTCGCACAACTGTACACAGTATCCAAACACTTTATTACAAATAAAAAATTTTGATTTTTTATTCAATTTTAAATTTTATTATGTAAATTAAAATCATTTCACAAAAGTTGATCATTGCACAATAATGAGTAGTAGCTAAAAGAGTTCATGTTCAGCAGCAGTTTCAGTATCATTTCCTACTAAAGGAATCACTCGGCTTGCTTTGCTTAGCTATTCTGAATTTGTATGTTTTTTTTAATATTTATTATGTATCGTACACTTAGTAACTGTTCTAACAAATCGGAATGTCTCTGGGCTATAGCAAATTCTGTCAAAGAGAAGGAAGAGGGACAGTTAGTAGTGCTTTATTGATTCCTACAACGTATACAAAAAGGACACTTATCTATTGTAGTGATGGATCTCCTTCCATTTACGTCACAACTTGAAAGTTTCCTCCCCAATCACAATACCCTTAACATTTTGTTTATTTTTTTCAAAAATTGTTCTGACCTACCTCACTTGCGAAATGATTGATCCCTCAAAACATTACTTTGCATAATCGAAATCTGTGCGATTTCCATGTTATTGTACTGTTGCAACAATAGAAACATGTGAAATATGCCTGGCGACTTTGGCCGGCGAATTGAGGTCAATTTAACATCATTGTTAAAAGCATCTATTGTTACATGTACCGAGGCAATAGCGACGAAACAAAAAAAAATTGAACGAATTTAGTTGGACAACGAGACGATACTGCACACACATTCCCTCACAGTGATCGATACACAGTAACGGAAATGACTCTACTTTTTGACCCGAGTTATCATAACCCCAGAAAACTTTAATGATAATGTTTTTGGCATTCCCAGACCATCGGTACGGTGTGCTGGCCGTGATAAACCGAAATAAAACATAATTGCCGAAGCCATCGAATGAAAGGTGTGAAAACGTGCTTATTAGTTGTCTGAGGTTTAAGGCAGTACTCTGCAAGACGTCCGAGAACTATGTCCGTTATATGCAGTTCAACTGATCACTGCAGCTCCTGAAACCTGGTCGTTGGCCGCGTTAGACAGGTGGCCGCTATATACGGGGTAAATATGTGCTTGCATCTTATAGAGCAAATACAGTTCTGTCTGTGAATGCCTGTGCTATGACATGTTTGTAGAAGTCAAAATCATCGCTTTATAACAAATACTGCATCCATAATTTCTATAACTTGGGATCATTTTCAGAAAGGACTCAAATCGAGCAAATGTTACATTATGCCATACAGTTATACCGGTAATCAGACCAAAATAATGCAATATTTCCCGCCAGTGAACAGAAAGTGGGTGAGAAGCAACTTACCAGTAGATACAAAGTAGCCAGTAAATGTTACGGTACATGTGCCAACACCTCCCGATTTAGTCGTCAATATCACGTCTCCTTTGCCTTTCACTGGTCCTGTTCTACAGATAACCTTGCTTGGGGATATCCAATCAGATGATAACAGACAGTTGACACCACATATACTAACACCTAGGAGAAAGAATGAGAACAAATTTAAATAGAAAAACAAGATTGCAAATAATTTCATGAAGTGTTGAATCAGTTTTATTTTCCCTACTATCAATTTTCGCAATGCAATTATTACATATCTCATGTGGTACATAATATTATCAATATTATTATCATCACTATAATTTTTACTATTATCATTATTGTAATCACTATTACTACCAGGGTATTATCATTATTGTAATCACTATCATTATTACTATTATCATTGTAAGCACTATCATCATTATCATTATCATTATTGTAATCACTATCATTAAAATACTATTATCATTGTAATCACTATCATTATTACCATTATCATTAGTGTAAACACTATCATTATAATACTTTTATCATGGTAATCACTATCATTATTAACAGAAGGAGCCACAATGCATCTCAAAAGGCCATTTAAGTCTCTTAAGGCATATTTCATTTTGTTTCAACCCAAGTTAATCCTGATATGGACATTGTCTAGCTCATCTTTGATGTCGATGATAGTTTGCGATTGCTTACACAAGTAACCAGTTAGCGGGATATGATATAACCTCACTGATTTTTTAACGTGATCCTATAATATATGTTTAGACACTTTCTCTGCAATAATATTTTTTAGGAGACCTTAGCATTTTTTGTTGTAGACTCTCAAAACCTTGTTCTTGTCACAGTTGCTAATAATAAAAACGTGTGAAATCTGTGAAGTATCAAGTTTGCAGGGCGATTTTTCTGCAGTTTTTAAAGTTATTGTTTTAAATATTTTGGCGTAATTTTTCATACATTTCAATCTTTCCTGACGCCTAAAATAGTCTATTTAAGTTTTTATTCAAGAGCGTGTTTATTGTGACTAGCGTGAATGGGTATGCTTCGTTTTGATAGTGAGCTGGTATCACTGTAAACAATAAAATTATTCTTCTAATGCTCAGTTCATCTTTTGAAAACAACTATTTTTTTATTTGAAATCATGCTATTTTCCTATCAAAATCCAAGCCAAAAGATCGTACTACAACATCAGCAAATCTTTTTTGCATTGCGTTCAATAACATTAACATATTTAAATGAGCTATGGTGATTTGAACATGTTGGCAATCATCCAGCATTTTGGTTAATTAGCGATTTGACCTAACAGGTCAACTCATGCAAGAGAAACAACCCTCCTGCATCGAGCGTTTATATGTGATTGGAATCATTTGCTTACAATGAAACTAAGTTGAATTTTATTTGAATTTCATAACAATTCAACGAATATTTTTTGTGTGTTATTATAATCACTACGGGGTAATATTCAACAATTGTGAAACGCAGTGTGACCGGGTTGCGCAACTGTGATCTGTTGCTACTACGCAATGCAGTTAGTTGGTTTTTGTTTTAATTTGAAACTTCGTTTAAAATATACTTTCGTTACCAATAAAATGAAAACAAATGTATTTGAAAAATTACACTGGGCGACATTGTAATGAAATTTCAGGGGGGCTACTTTTTATTTTTAATTCAGCAAGAATTATTAATTGTTATTTCTGCAATCGTTTCTTTCGTCTTGGGTGGCCCAACTTATGACGTTAAAAATCTGTGTATACTTGGATACTTCAATGAAAATGGAAGTCCCCAAAAAATATTTGATTATCATTTTTTGAAATTTTGAACCTGAAATAAGCGCCCAGCCATGAAATCCCCAGGGTGATTTTTCGGACAGAATCCGATATTATATAAAGAAAGTATTATTATGGACATCTCGCGCATATTGCCGATGTTTTATACTGTTTGTAGTTTGCATATGAAAGTGGTTGTTGATGCCCCTCCTATTATTAAAAGTCGTTGACAATGCAATAACAATGCCACTCGCACTGTGCACATTTTAGCACTAGATCTAGTGCCATTTTAGCACTAGATCTACTACTTTTTCGGATTAGTGCTACTAGTACTAACCACTTGCACTACACCCATTTTTGACACATTTACATACATATGAAAGGTGAAGACTGCAGTATTAAGTTTGTTCAACATTACATGTAAAAATATAATACCTATTAAATCTTTCGCATTGATGCCAAGATTTTCACCACGGATGGTGACTTTACAACCAGGTGGCCCTTCTTTAGGTGATAACCCAGTAACTTTGGGAGGTTCTCTTTTCATTCTGACTCTGTAAACAAAAAGTGGAAACAAAATCATCAAATTGCATGCGTACCATTTTCTAGTTTTAATAATGAATTAAACCATATGAAAATGTATATGAGCGTTGTGATGTCGTAACCATAATTATTTTTGTGTGTGCATAATGTATAAAATGCAGATGGATACAAGTAAATAAAATTTATTGTCATTGTCATAATAATTACATTTGTAATTGGTTCATTTACGAAAGTGGTAAGCAACAACAGGTTTTTTTAGTTGCTCACGATTCATAATTATTATAGATTTTGTTTTCTTGTCTAGATATCTGAAGTGTTCTCGGACTTTGTAATATTGCTAAACTCTCCAACAACAACTGTCTTTCTGTTTTATAGCTTTCACAGGTTGTGATGAGGTGTATTTCATCTTCGAATTGGTTTTATGGTTTTATGGTATTAGGGATTGGTCAGTTTCTTCAGCCTGGGG